AAGAGTGGGACAACTGACTTTTCTGTCTTCCTACAAATTGGCTTAGAAATAAGATTTAACAACAACAATAAGGGAGCTACATGCTAGTAAAATAACAAGATCCTTAACAAACCAGGATTCCAATCAGTTAATGAACTGCTCAGATATCCAGCAGTTAATCCTACTGGAGCAACAGAAACATTTATGGTTATTTCTTCAAGTTATGAAGAACCGAGTTAACATTTGTCTTCTCTCCCTTTTCCCACATCATCATTCTATGGTTTATGACTATGTTTATTCCAAATATATTACAGCAAAAGGTAAAATAAAAACAACAGGGTGCTAATTTGTTTTTTTAAAAAACATATTGAGCACGGTCAGGCTCACATTTTAAAATTACTTAATTCATAGCAACATCACAACTAGAGGAATAAAGGAGTGTCTTACTGCTACTCTGATTTGAAACTCATTCAACGAGAAATAAGCACTATCTTGTTGGAGAAAGGATGCTAAATCTGGTCAAAATCCTGTTAAGTAAATTACACCTACTTAAAGAAAAGAAGGAGGTTGCCAGTAATTAAGGAGCTCCTGTTTCAATCTGTGGGATCACCCAACTCACCAGCAATGAGATTAATTGCCAGCAAATCAGTGAAGCCCTGAGATGAAAGCAGAAGCTCTTCAACTAACAGTAATTTCCCCTGCCTGGCATTATTTGGTCAACAGGATACTGGACATCTTGAGGTAATACTAATAACATAAGTATCTGTAACAATGTAGATGGTGGATTTGATAACCTCAGACTATTGTTGCTGATGTGTGCCATCAAGTCACCTCTGATTTATGGCACGGAACCTCCAAAATGTACTACTATTAACAGCCCTGCATAGCTCTTAGAAAATCAAGGTGGTGGCCTCCTTTATGGATACATTCTATCTTATATTTGGTCTATCTCTTTTCCTGCTGTCTTTTCCTAGCATTACTGCCTTTTCCAACAAGACTTGTCTTCTTCCTCGTCGTTTAGTCGTTTAGTCATGTCCGACTCTTTGTGACCCCATGGACCAGAGCACACCAGGCCCTCCTATCTTCCACTGCCTCCCGGAGTTGTGTCAAATTCATATTGGTTGCTTCAATGACACTGTCCAACCATCTCTGTCGTCCCCTGCTTTTTTGCATTTCCTTCTCTTTGGGATGGTTTTTGTTGCTGCCTCCTCTACAATGTTGCGAGCCTCTATCCAAAGTTCTTCAGGCACTCTGTCCACCAAATCTAGTTCCTTAAATCTGTTCTTTACTTCCACTGTGTATTCATAAGGGATTTGGTTTAGATTATACCTGAGTAGCCCAGTGTTTTTTTCCTACTCTCTTTATTTATTTATTTTATTTATTTTATTTATATACCGCCTATCTGGTCGGTTTAGTTTAAGCTTGAATTTTGCTATGAGAAGCTGATGATCAGAGCCACAATCAGCTCCAGGTTTTGTTTTTGCTGACTGTATAGAGCTTCTCCATCTTTGTCTTCTTATGATGTACCAAAGGTATGAGTCTTGGTTTCATCACTTTTGCTTCCAAGAAAGCTTAGACTTGATTTTAGCTAAGACACATTTGTTTGTCCTTCTGGCAGTCCAAGGTATCTGCAAAGCTCTCCTCCAGCACCATACTGTAAATGAATCAGTTTTGTTTCTATCTGCTTTCTTCATTGTCCAGCATTCACATCTGTTCATAGTAAACAGAAAAACAACAGTGTGTATGATCTTGACCCTGGTCCAGTAACATATCTTTGTACTGGATGATCTTTTCTTCATGAGAGGATTCTTCTTCAATGAAATCTGTCATCCTTAATTTTCTACTGTATATTTCAATACATTGTTTTCACCTTCTCTTTGTTTTATCCTGGTCAGACAATATGCTATCCTCTTGGTCTTTCAGCATCCCTATTCCATGTTTCCTTGATCTTATAGAAGAGATCTCTTGCATTTCTCTTTTCTTGTTCTCTTCTATTTGTTTGCACTGACTATTGCAATAATGTTCTTTGTGATAGTCACTGAAAAGTTACATTCAAGATTCTGACCCTATTTCTGCCACTTTTTACTTTGGCTTTTTGCCTGTCTTTAACAATTTAAGGCGTTTCTTCCATCATCCATCTAGGGGGCTTTTCTTTTGACTAATGGAATTGTCTTTTTGTATTCTTTCCGGATAATATCTTTGGTTTCAATCTACATTTCTTCTGGTTCACAGTCAATTGAGTTTAGGAATGTAAATCTGTTCTTTAGATGGACATTAAATTCATTAGAAATGTTTACATTATATTTTGGCACTATGATTTTTTCGTGTTTTTAGCCTGACTATATATTATGTATATTATATTAACAATTCCTAGTCAGTATCACAATCTGCTTTTTGGCAGACAGAATGCAGCTTTTCCATCTACTACTTTCAATTTTGTAGTGCATCTGATTTCTACATTGGCCATCTGGTGATGTTCACATGTACAGTCATCTGGTTCATTGCCTGAAACATGTATTTTCAGCAATCAGATTGTTAGCTTCACAGAATTCTACAAGTTACTCCCCATGTTTTTGCATCCTTGTGCCTTTATATTTTGGAATGCAGCTCCCATCACTGGGATGGATGGGTTTGATAAGAGTTTTAGTTCAAACCTTCTGAAAGGCACTGCTTTTTCTATCAAGGAGGACTAGTAGGGAGGGAGGGAATGGCTGGGAACAACCCTCAGATTCCTAACCACACAGATGTAAAGAAGGAAGAAATAGTATCTTTGCACTGGTTCATCTAAGAGACAATAAGTTGTGTTATTTATGCAATATATACAGAGACATATGAACTCATTGGAAAAAGTGAAGGATGTAAGTGTGAATAATAGGGTAGAGCACATATATGGATGAGAGTGTGTGGATGAACATACACAAACATCTTCTTAGGCATCCTTCAGTCTTGAGAGACTACGGTAATATTCTCTGTATCGAGGACTTGGAACAGCATCTAGTGTGGCTGGAAAGGCCAATTCGAGAGTGACAATCCCTTCCACACTGAAGAGAAATACAATCTGTACCCTGTCAAGCTCCCTGATTTTGCTGCTTCTGGGACTGTCTCTTTGCCTCGGCCTGCTGGACAAGGGTCTCTTCAAATTGGGAGAGGCCGTGATGCACCGCCTGCCTCCAGGCTGAACGGTTAGATGTCAAGGTTTCCCTTGAGGACTTCCCTGAGGTCCACTCCTAAGGCCTTCAGATCCCGCTTGCAGATATCCTTGTATCGCAGCTGTGGTTTCCCTCTGGGGCGATTTCCCTGTACTAATTTTCCATACAGGAGATCTTTTGGAATCCGAGCATCAGCCATTCTCACAACATGCCCAAGCCAACGTAGATGTTGCTGTTTCAGTAATGTATACATGTTGAAAATTCCAGCTATATCTAGGACATACACAAACATACAAATCAGTTAAATATGTCTACCATCTATCTATGTATTTGCATATGCAATTTATATAAACAGAAAATAAGAACTAAAGAACACTTAATTTACAGCTTTTTGTGATCCTTTTGTGGAATACGGTTAATCATTCACACACACACACACACACACACACATAGTGATTTACAAACATAAATAATTAACCAAATTATTTCAGATTCTGCCTTCTTTCTGGCAAGCTGTAAATTCTGTTGTCTTAGGGTGCAATGCTCTACATACTTACCTGGGAAGAAGTTCTATTAAAAACAACTGGAATTGATCCTGAATAGTATACTGTGTTTGTATACTCATATACAAATATCTTAGTAGACAGATGGGTAGTATATAAATTGAATAAATAATAATAATAACATCTGCTGGCTACTGAAGCACACCAAAGAAGTTCAGGAGATTAGTCTATGCATTATATTTTGCAGCAAAACCTTTGACTGTAGATCATGAGAAACTACGGATTTTTCTGAAAGAAATGGATGTGCCTCAGCACTTGATTGTCCTGATGTATAACTTGTATTGTGGACAAGAAGCTACCATTAGGATAGAACGTGGAGATACCATTAGGATAAAATGTGGAGAGACATAATAGTGTTATATAAGGAAAGGTGTCAGACAAGGATGCATTTTATCACTTATTGGTTCACTCTGTATGCACAACATATTATACAGAAAGCTGGACTAGATTCCAGTGAAGGAAGTGAAAATTGGTGGAAGAAACATAAGCAATTTAAGAAACGCAGATGATACCATCTTATTGTCAGAAAGCAGCAATGACTTGACGCAACTGTTAGGGAAAGACATAGAAGAAAGTGTCAAAGGACTGCACCTGAACATAGAGAAGACAAAAATCATGATGACTGAATAACTACACAACTTCAATCGTGACAATGAAGAAATTAAAATAGTTAGAGAATTTGTATACCTTGGTTTAATCATCAGTCCAAATGGAGACTGCAGCCAAGAATTCAAAAGAGTGAGACTAGGAAGGGCAGCAATGAAGGAAGTAGAAAAGGTCACAAAGTGTAAGTAAGGATGTGTCACTGGAGACCAAGACCATCCACGCTCTTGTATTCCTGATCACCATGTATGGGTGTGAAAGCTGGACAGTCAGGCAAGCTGACAGGGAGGGGGGGGAATGATTAATTTGAAGTGTGGTGCTGGAGAAGATATTGGGGTTACTCTGGGCTACCAGAAAGACAAGTGAGTCCTAGATCAAATCAAGCCTGAAATATTTCTGGAGGCAAAAATGATGAAAGGGTGAAGCTGTCCGACTTGAGTCACCTAATGAGAATGCAAGATTCTCTGGAACAGACAATAATGCTGAGAAAAGTCGAAGGCAACAGGAAAAAAGGAAGACCAACTAGGAAAAGAGGCACCACGGTGTAAGCGACAATAACACGCTACCCGCCACCAGGAAAAGAGGCACCACAGTCTAAGCGACAATAACACGCTACCCGCCACCATAACAGCCCATCTTCGCCTTCTGCATCCGCTCCGCCGTCGAGGCTTTCCAATGCCCGGCGCCGTGGCGCAAAGCACACTGGGTAGTGTCCCTTGGTTACCGTTGCTATGAAGGGCCTAGCGCCCCCTCAGCGGTCTCACGCCGGGAGAAACTAATATAGTACAGCGTGATGGTGAAGCAAACGATCCAGATATATGCGAGGGTAAAGCCCCTCGGCAGGAAACAGCCGCCGGGGGTAGGTGCAGGAGGAAAAAAAAACACGACGTAAGGCAAAGTAATGTTGCGAAGAATAAAAAGTAGGGTGAAAGACCGAAGCCATAAGCAACGCGCTGTGTCACCAAGAGAAGGAACCGTGAGCCGCAGGACGGAGTTTGACGAGTGTCGTTGGGGAAACTTTTTCGTAATTTTGGCGGCGGCGGGGAGGGCTGGGGTGGGGGAGAGCAGGGCGAGTTGGCTGGACTGTGATACGTGTGAAGTTGTGCAGTACTTCACGAACAAATGCCGATGTATTTTCATAGAGCGAAAACGGCACCGGAAGGCAGGATTGGTCTGGGTCATGGCTTTCGCGTGATTGGTGAAATTATCCTCAAATTTTCGTTCCCGCACTCACATTCTGTATATATAAATGTGTGGCTAAATATTCTGCGCCTGAAGAAGCGAGCAGTAATCCATGAAAGCCTAGCTCCAAATAACCAGTTAGTGTTTTTGCCCGGTTTTTGTTCTACACCTCCAAATTCTGATGATAAGCACTAATCGCAGAACTCATCTCTAATAACTTCTTTCTTCTTAAAAGAAGCTTTCAGAGGGAAGTTAGCTTTTATAGGAGGATAGCACAACCCATTTTCATCGTCATGATTGTTAGATATATGTAAATTAGAATAGGATGCTTCTTCCCAGTCACTTGTTCTGAGGGAATGAAATAATCTTCTGTGTTAAAGTACTGTAGCTTTTTTAAAAGAACAGCAAACTAAGGAAATTGTAGTGAACAATATAGCAAAGACTAGTAAGTTTATTAATGTGTCACAAAAAAGTTTCTCTCTCTGCAAAAACAGCTTAGAATAATAATCTTAGATCTGCAGAGCTGTGGATCATAGGGTCCAGCCCCTGTCAAGGAGATAGTGCGGAATTGAACTCCCTATCTAGATACCTAAACAAGCAGCTATGATTTTGAAAATTGTTACAATCAGATCATATGTTTGCTTACATTGTATTTAACAGTTGCATTGCAGACGACATAGAAGGTAACTCCTTGCAGCTGCCTACATAGTTGCATCCATCTTGATGACATCAATCTGTCATTCACATCGTCTTTTCCTGGGAGATTTTTCCAAGTCCTGTATTTTGACTATGAGGACTAATGGATCTGTTAAGACTTCATCTTGTTTATACTATTTGGAAGTACCTACAATTGTTGATATGCATAGGTTGCACAGATGGTTCAGAGTGTGCTTTAAGCAACTTATGGGGATTCCCAGATTCTCCCATTGCACTGTACATAAAAACTAAATGTATATATGTTCTTTAAACAGAGATTTTCCTAATTTCAGCTTATTTTTCCCAAACTGATACAGATGTAACTTCTTCTTGACATAATTTTATAAAAATATTATGCAGTAAATTATGGATATATTTTCATTATCAAAATTATTATGTTGGAACTTTTTTGCTACTCTTTTAGCATGATTATAGTTTATGCTTTATTTGCTAATAAATATGTTGGAATAATTTTACTGGTGTGATACATTTTAGAGATCAAACTGTGTGTATATATTTGTAGATCTATTCAGTAGATGAAGATGAGACATCCGGATTCAATTTGGAAATTATTGTGCCGCATGATTTGGCAGATGGGTTTGTCAATAATAAAAGAGAAAGCTACAAATTCAAGTAAGTTAATCTTTCTCTTTTTTGTTTGTTAGTACTTAGTTTATTTTAGGAATTTTATGTTTGAACATTTCAAATGGAAAAAAAGAGACATCTAATAATCATGCATCATGTCAACACATGGATATTCCAGTAGCTTTTCCCCTCCCATATCAATGGCATTTTAAGTTATTTTATACACTCTTCAAAGTACCATTGTCTTTTCTAGTTATGATCCAGTCCTGCTTATGAAAAAGCATAAAATCATAAAACAATGTGTGTTCAGTAAAGATGATGTTTGTAAACATATTCTTTACAGCAAGAAATTGATGTATACTGGCACTTTTCCCATCTTGATAATGTTCAAATTGCAAAATGGTGAGAGAGGCCTCACTGTTAAATTGCTGCATGATTGAAATCACAGAACAATAGTATTGTGTTGGAAGGGACCATAATAGTAATGTTCTCCAACTCTGTACTGATGAAGAAAATTTGTTAACATCCCAGAAATCAGAAGCCTCTAGCTAAGGAGAATGCAACACCTTTTTAGGCAGTGAGCTCACTGTCAAAAAACTTGTTATCTGCAAGAAATTTTGGCATAGAAAAATTACTTTTGAGGAGTATGGAATCTCCAAGCCAGCATGCTGACTGGAGTCCAGAAAGGTAATTTTTCCAAGGTTTTTTATTAACATTGAGTTGAAATTGCCCATCTTATGATTTCAGTGTTCTATTTTAGTCCCAGTCCTCTGAAGCAATGTAAAAATATGATTATATTCCCTGTACATGACAGCTATTGTAGGTAGAGATGGCTACAACAACAACAACAACAACAACAACAACAACAACAATAATAATAATAATAATAATAAATACTGTGATGTCACATCAATTCTGACTTTTTGTTTCCAGGGTTTTCTAGGTAGCAAATACTAAGTACCATTCCCTGGGACTGTGCAGCTTGCCCAAGGCCACATTGGCTGGTTCTTCTTGGATGCAGAGTGGGGAAATGGACTCCCAGCCTCTGACTCCACAGTCAGATGCCCATCCCACTGAGCTATCCAGCCAGTGAGGAATATTATACAGCCAGAATTTTTTTAAAAAAAGTCTTATCCAGGTTAAATACACTCATCTGCTTCTACCTTTCTGCACAGAATGTGTTCTTCAGGCTTCAAATCATTCTTCTTCCCATCCTTTGAATATATTCTAAATGTTGCTTTATATTTTCAAACTTTGTCCCATACTTGAGTATCCTTTAATATTTCACCAGCTTAAAGATATGCATATATAATTCTTTTATGCTTGTTAATATTTATCATAGAGTTTCATTATGGAACTTCAGCTACATGGATTTTCAAAGTAAAATAATATATGCCAAAGTAACTCCTTCAGATCTCAAACTCAGAGTTTTCATTCTGTTGTCTTTGCTTTCATGGGCTTCTCTGTTAGTATTTTGTACCTTTGTTCATAAGGCAGCATTGATGGAGGGGGAAAAGACTCAGAGAAGATTTATTTATAGCCAGATCCAATACATCCTTCCTTGGAACTAAGGGTCTATCCAGGCCAGGCAATTAGAAGTGACATCTTGTGCAATCCCTGTATTTGTTCTTCATAGTTCATAACAGTACCATTTGCTTTGCACATCCACACATCTAAGGTATTTTATTCCAGGACTTTATGGTGTCCCTTGTTTATACAGAGATTCAAAACAGCTACATTTTCTCATAACACTCCACTCCCCTGTTCTCCTTTTCCAGTGTCTCTACCCTATTTTCTTACCTTTTGTTCCTTCTCCCTCCTTATTTGTTGTGTCTTTTTGCTGCTGCAGGGATTGTGAAATAAAAGTTTTGAGAATAATCAATATTTTTTGTTCTGTATCTCTTTACAGCAGTTTCTTTTATGATATTTTCAACAATAAGATTAGCACTGAAATGATTAATTCTTTGTTGTTTGTAAGATTACTTGCAATGGAAAGCAAATTCAACAGTTTAATAAAAAATCAAACCCTATCACTTTCATCCCGTTCTGTTGTTAGACAAACTTGTTTTCATTCCACACAAACTTGTTCAATAGCTTTTTGAGATAAAGGACCCAGTGTGTGATGACAAAAACATTACTAAATAAAACACAAATGCAAAAATAGGCAATAGACCACTAAAAAAATCATCGTACTATAATAGTAAGAATAAAGAGTTAAGTATGGCGCTCCATTTTCCTTGCTGTTTAGCTTTAATCTTATTTCAAAATAATTTTAAAACTTAGAATAAAAATATGTATTGCTTCCAGAGACAGCCCTAGTGGGAGGCAAGAGAAGGTTAGACATCCACCCACCTCATGTCACTTGAGACATAATAAACTAAACATTGATGAAAAGCCTGCTGTGTCAAAAGTCTGCTGTGTCAACACTGTAGAATACTGATACAAAACAGCACACTACATACATAATGCTAGCAAAATAAAAAACAAAAACAAAAACAACACAGCCCAGGCTGGACAAAAAGAATGGAAAGTCATAGAATCATAGAATAGTGAAGCTGGAAGGGGCCTATAAGGCCCCTGCTCGGTGCAGGATATCTGCCAGGTGGTTATCTTAAGTTTTTCTTGAATGCCTCCAGTCCTGGAGCACTCACTACCTCTCAAGGTAATTGGTTCCACTATCTTACTGCTCTAAAGTTAGGAAGTTTTTAAAAAAATATTCAATCAGTTCAATGTTCTGTGGAGCAGTAGTCTCCTACCAGGAGTTTCCTTATTCCGCTATAGCTGTAATTAGTTTGAAACACAGAATGTAATAGCATTTCAACATGCTACCAAATTATGCAGCCAATTGAATTTGGGCAAAATTCTTTTGACATACTTGAATTTCTAACAACTACTTTAATAATTTCCTTTCTGCTGTAGAAAAGAACCTGAAAATAATCTGCACTGTTTATATGTTCTGTTTGTTTCTAGGGTTGCGTATACAAGTTCCTGTGTGGGACTATTTGGAAACACTGATCCCCATGACACTACTAAAATACAGTTTACATCTTCTAAGCAGTATCATTTTATCAGAGGATTTTATTGTACAGATTTTGTCAAAGCAGTAGTGTTTCCAGTCTTTTGTGGATTCAGTAGTACAACAGTGTAGTGTGGTAAAGGCTACAGGGAAAACATTGTGCTAGGTTATGCAAGTCCAGTGATGTAAACATTGACTTAGTTACAAACAGGAAAAAGGGAGGGAGAAAAAATAATCAAGTAGTGTTTAAAAATTCTGTATAACTATTTGTTGATACCTTGCAGATTTCAAAAAGTTTTTGATCAGGAGTCAAAACAAGATGAAATTTTTGAAGCCATTGCCAAACCAGTTGCAGAATGGTAAGTCTAAGTCTTTCAAATGATCGATCAACCGAGTAGAGTTGTCAATCAAATTAGTTTATGATTATCTCCTGTATTGCTGTTTTTAAAAAGTGGATGATACATTCTTTGGATGTTTTTTATACAGTGGTGCCTTGCAAGACGAGCACTTCGTTTAACGAAGAAATCGCATAACGAAGAAGTTTTTGCGATCTTAAAAGCGATCACAAAATGATGTTTCCTATGGGGTTTTTTCGCTTTGCGATGATCGGTTACCTGCTTCGCTAACCGATTATCGCAAAACGAAGATTTTCGTACAGCTGATTGGCAGTTTCAAAATGGCCGCCGGGTTAAAAAAATGGCCGCCCGCTGTTTTCTGGGACAGATTCCTTGCTGCATGGGCAGCAAAAATGGCCATGCTATGGAGGATCTTCATTGGATGGTGAGTTTCAAGCCCATAGGAATGCATTAATCGGGTTTTAATACATTTCTATGGGCTTTTAAAAATCGTTTTACGATGTTTCGTTCTAAAGCGATTTCGCTAGAACGAATTGACATCGTAATGCGAGGCACCACTGTTTAAGACAGGTAGGTTTTTTGATCTAAATGTTACTGGATAAGTGGAAAATAAGAATTTTCAAGATAGATATGTAGAATGTTGTGATTGTTTAGATGAAAGCATCTTAATTACAGATATGTTCTATTTGTTTATATATTTAGCTGATTGGATAGCTAAGTGAGAATCTGCAGAGCCAAAAGTTGAGAGTTCAGTTTCCCACTATGCATTCCAGAAGAGCTGGTGTGTGTGGCCTTGGGCAAACTGCACAGTCCCAGGATGCACCCAGAAGAATCGAATGGTAAACCACTTCTGAGTACTGTACTCTCTATATAGAAGACCCTGAAAAGGGAAGGGTNNNATAGAAGACCCTGAAAAGGGTCACCGTAAGTCACAATTGACTTGATTGCATATATTATTAAATATATCACACAATGATAGGTATTACACTGAAATGGAATTCTGCATATACTGTACTATTATTAAATATATCACATAATGATAGGTATTACACTGAAATGGAATTCCCATATTGAGTATCTTCCCTGAGTGCCAAATCTTTAGGACAGGGATAGATCATTGATCAGTTTCAGGTTCTGCTTGTAAACTTTGTGGCTAGTCAGAGGCAAGATGCAGAACTTGATGGAATTTGGTCTGATTCCACAGGTCAGTTCCTTGTTGTTTTGTAACACTTGCTCTATGTTATTGTGTCCTGCCTATTTTGTGACTTGGATTTCATGGGTTACATGGGGTATATTAGCACCTATCAACTATGGCTTGAATAACATTTGTGGCAAAATAAATGGGGATTTATTGAACAGAATTGATGTTAGAGTTAACCCCATATTTGAATGTATCTTGGGGGGAGCATTTCTCTGAAAGTAAAAAAGTAACATAGCAATAATAGGCTGGGCTAGAAGATTTCTTCCTAACTGTGCTATTGTTTTTCAAAACTTTGCAGATTTCTTTTTTTAAAAAATGTGAACAAGCATCCCACCTGTGTCTGGAAATGGTGCAGCCCACTTTGTGTCAGAATTCTGACATCTTATTTTTCTATATATACCAGTGCTAATTTTGCCATTGTTGGACAAGTTACTTTCTTATTTCTAGTCCCACCAACCAATAAAGAGTAGAATATGACATGATTGTAGGGAGACATTGTCAAATATTAACTTCATTTCAGAATTGCATGCTGGACTTTCCAAATGGTGTGAAAGCTGGACTTTCCAAATGGTGTGAAATAGCCCTCTTTTTTGAGTTTCTAACTTTAATTCATATGGATGGAATAATCTCTATTTCCATATGCTCATTAAATTGGAATAATCACAGATTTAATAATTATAGATGCCAAGTTTCAATCAATTAAATCACATACAAATCTAATTAAATATCTTAGAAACAACTTAGGGAGCTAATAGCTTTGAAGGGGCATTTTGGTTTAATTTTTCCCTCAATACAAGAGTATAGCGTGCTAGCAAGAAAATACACTTCTTAATACTTTCCTAATCCTGGCCAAGTTATTTTTATCATGTTAACAGCAGCAGCAGCAACAAGTTTTTGGTTAAAACTGTTGCCAGCTATCTTCTCAGCAGTGGGAGCAAGTGATGGAGGAAGTGGTGGGAACAACAGCAAGGACTGAGAGGGGTATATGTTATCCATTCTTGTACCAAGCAAAATGACTGACTGAGGTGTCTATAGAGTTGCAACCTTAAATTAACCATTACACAAGTCGATTCTGCTGTTAGCAACTTGTGCCCACTTGTTTCATTCTGTTTTATAACTTCATTGTCTGTCTGAGCAGTTAGTGAGTTCTGAGGAACAGAATGTGAACAGAAAGCTCTCCATGAAATGGGTTTACTATTTGAATGTTAACTATAAATATTAAAATATGTTAGCATCCAAAAATAAAATATGTGCTCTATGTAGTGCTGCCTCTGGAATGAGAGAAACTTCAGCAGGTCTGAAACACATCAGTTGGATTACAAACTGGAGCTGGTCACAGGGATCACAAAAGCCTCCTATTAGAGCAGCTCCACCAGCTGCCAATCCATTTCCAGGGACAATTCAAACTACTGGTCTTAAGAGTTCTCAATGCTTTGAGTCCAGGCGATCTCAAGGACCACGTCTCCCATGATGAACCTGCCTGGGTGTTAAAATAATCAGGAGAGGCCTTTCTTTCAGTCCCACTTTCACAGGTGCATTTGGTGGGGACACAGGAGAGGGCCTTCTGTGTTGCTGCTTCCATACTGTGGAACTCCCTCCCACAGGAGGCCAGGCTGGCCCCATCTTTGCTGTCTTTCTGCAAGCAGACAGAGGCCTTTCTCTTCAGGAAAGCATTCCCTTAATTACTGGCTGCCCGAGTGTGTTTCTTAAATGGATTCTTGTTCCGGAGGCCTTTCTCTTCAGGAAAGCATTTCCTTAATTACTGGCTGCCTGAGTGTGTTTCTTAAATGGATTCTTGTTCCTTACTGCCTTGAATGTGTTTTGATGTTGCTTCTGTTACTCTGGTATTTGCTAGATCCTTTTTAGCTGAATGTGTTTTCATGTTGCCTCTGTTTATCATCCTTTACTCTGGTATTTGCTAGATCCTTTTTAGTATTTGTACACTTATTCATTTTAGCTTTAAATATTATCTTTCAATGATGTTAACCACCTTGGGGCCTTCTTAAGGAGAAAGATATGGTAGAAATGTTATAAATTAATAACTGAATAAAGATGAAAGCAGATTGTGCTCATAATATTCTGCAGACCATCAGGGATTGCCATGCTCATCAGTGAAAATTTCCGGCTTGTGAAGGTGTGCTACTTGCTGCTTAGCCTGACTTGAACAAATGTTTAGGAATTTTCCTCATATTGTTTTAAATACTTTTAAAAAACTAAAACATGAACCTGCTCATAGCATTCTGAAGTTTTTTTTTAAACCATGCCCTGAGAACACTCCTGGGAGTGCCTATAGGACATCCTCAACATCGTCCCATGAGAATTCCATGGTGTTGTTGAACTGGAAATCTGGAGGGAGTCTTTAAATACTATGAGTTCATATTAGGCTTTTTAAAGTTTGAAAAAGAAACAAACAAACTTCAGCCACTGCATATGATAAGCAGCACCTTTTGACATTTTCAATTCTTATCCTATACAAAAGCAACAGGAAATTGCCCCGACCTCAAGGGCAGACATATACATATGTGAATGTGGATGGTGATTTTCTGCCTAGCTAAAGGTTATACAGGGCTCACATTATCCCTCATTCATTCATCTCTTTCTGCCCAAATGCCATTTTGGCACTAAAGTAAAGCAGTAATAACAAAATAAAGTTAAAAGGAGGACCAGAGGGAGATATGGGAGATATTCATGTGAAAGGGACACTGAAAACAGAGCTCCATTGTGCTCCATGAGAATCTTCAACATACAGTAATAAGAATTAGTAATGCGATGCCTCGGAGTTGACTTTGATAGCAACCTTTTCTATGATTTTCTTAGTATGGAGTACTCAGAGGTGGTGTACCATTCCTTTCTTCTTTTGGTACCTTGAGACTGTGCAGCTTGCCTCCAGTGTTGCTGGCTCTTCTCCCTTAAAACACAGTGGGGAATCGTACTCCCAGACTCTGGCTCTGTGACCAAATACTGAACTGACTGAGCCAATGCTAAGTAAATTAAGCCTTGTGAGATAATTGCATCTGAATCTACTTTAATTTTTACTGACACTGTTAGATTTTTAAAATCTGTTCTTTGTGTCCTTATTTGGGAACATAAAGGTTTTGCTTTTCTGTATTTTTCCAAATATGGCCTCACACACTTCCCAAAGAAACAACAAGATTATTGATTGACAGTTTAATTAACAGGCAGCAAAAGGCATTTTTGTGATGTTTATGTTCCTTGTAAAGTATGTTGCTGGTTGTTTTTGAGCTTCAGTGCTTGTTCCAAATAGTTAAGTAACAGGGTTTATTCTGTTTTCATTTATAAAACTTCAGGATGTTTTGACTTGCTGGTAATTGTAGTTTTATTGCAACATAGCTCATTATTTAAATTTTGCTTTGTAAGTATAGTTAAAAATACTTCTTATGAAAATTTTGTATTTATTGCCAATATATTCAGATTTTGGTGTTGCTCACTAAATACTGATTTGGCTGCCTCTAATCTCTATTTGAGTATGCCAACATTCCTTTAGCATTTGTTAAAATTAGATTAATTGTTACTATTTTGGTATCATGTTATTCTTTATAATGAGATTGTTTCTGTTATCTTTAAAAAACATGTAAAGAATGCAATGACAATTTGGCAGATCAATTTTTTTGGAAGCAGAACTGTACATGTTTTTGGAGAAAAAAGAACACCAGAGAGTGAAGGAGAGGCTTTGCTCACCAGTTTCCAGGAACGTTACACAGCAGAATTTCTTTAATAGCATTCCGAATCTGTTTGTCATATGATCCCTTGGAAACTAAATGGAATATTACTGCAGAATAAA